CAATTTTTTTCTTCTTCACTACTGATAAAAATTATGGCCTACGTCTAAGACGACCGAGTTCTAGATTTTCTTGAACATACAATCACGACAATGGTATATGTTAAAAGATATTACTGGGCAGGCCCTTTTGCAGTCACATAAATTATTTTTAGGAGTTTTACGCATGTTTTACGAAGTCTGAATGCGCCTAGAAACGGCCATTATAAAACTGACGCCTTGAGTTACCGTTGCTGAAAGTAAGAGTGCGACCTAATGACCCAAAAATAAGGCCATTAGCACATATAACATGTGTTTATAAGTAAAATAAACACCCCAACATTTTGTCACAAATTACGCTCACCCTCAAAAAATGTTCTTTTTAAGCCTAGATTTTAAGCTGTCCTTTGTGTTCGTTATGGGGCGATTGGAAGCAACTAATCCGCACATCCTCCGGTAAAAAAGCTTGCAATAAAGATTAATGAATTTGTAAGAGGTGTTCTACTTCGGTCACAACTTGCATATTTAAAATAAAAATTACATACTGTTTAGATTATGGCTTTGGCGTACAAGAAAAGAATGACAATAGCTTGAAGTAATTATGGCTAAGCAATTATGTCTTGCACTCTTATCACAATGCTCATCCTTATTGTAAACCTTAAATTCAAAATGATCAACTCAACACAATATTTTAAGAGTAAAAGATTTTGGAATTTTGAGCAAGAGGAGGGTTTTTTAGGAAAAAAAGTAGAGAAACCGATACTATTGTTATATGGACCTGTTAAAATATTCCCAGTTGAATTGTATTTGTTCAAGCGTAAATGCATTTTAAAGACAATTGCTTATGTTGCCTGGACAGTTTGAATGGCCATGGAACAGATGAAAGGCGCCGACACGAAGTGTGGAGGCGCGTGGGAATTTTTCAGCAGGTACCAACAGTCGGCGATTGTGAGCGTGCGTGGATGTGTCTAGACGCGAAACCGGTTGAAATAATCAGAAAGAAGATTAGTGCTTTTTAAAATAATCTTTCTCTCTGTTTCATTATTCATCTACAGTCACGCAAAAACGTCGTCTTTGGTGAATGATGCTGGTTGCTCAAAACATAAGCCATCCGTTATTTCAAAAGCTCATGCACCACTCTAGTGAGAAATCGGATTACACTATCACTCAATTATACTTTATCTATCCCAAAAACCAGGAGTTGCTCGTGGCTGAGAAAGTAAAAAGATTGATAGTTACAGCGAAGCAAGAGCAATATACACACGTATGTAGGCTTTAGAACTGTTTATTATGATGGCCTTGTGAATGCCGAGACTGTCTGTAGGATGAAGGAGCACGATGAACGTCTTGTACGCACACATACAGCCATACAATATCTATGACTGTGTTCTAGTCTCCTTGTTAAATGGCACACCATGGAGCCATAGTCGCTTTTTATCCTTTGCCTAATTGATAACTCTTTGAAATAAGCGTTCCTTTCCCTAAGCTCGCCAATTACCAACGTCTATTTGCGTGCCAGTCAAAGAGGGAGTAAAATTTTGCGACAAAACTACTTTTGTCACTTTCTGTAATCTTAATTGCTGCCAATGGCATAAGGTTAGAAATTTAAGGCACAGATAAGCAAAATGTCGGCTGGTTGTAATGACAACAGCTTAAAAAAGAAAGCAATCATGGTAATTGAAAATCGAGATCTTATTTTTTAAGTGTTTTTCAAAGTAACTCCTTTACCTTACTTCTTGATGAATTAATTTAGTGGTAAATTACGCCACCAATATGGAGAAAAGGCAATTTCTCATGTATCTATGAATTCGATTCTATAGCCTCAACTAACAGTAAGCATGCCTTAGAGGTTTTTTTCACTGTATCAACTGAGAGTTGCGTGCAAGCCCTTCTATTCTAAAAACCACCCGACTGCCTATTCGTGTGGAATGAAGCGTTTTTATGATGTGTAGGTATACAAAAACAAGTTTATACAGGGGCGTTAGCACGTAAGGAGAATTTCAATAACACCAAATTCGTAGTAATTTGTCTTCTCCATGCATGCTTTGTGGATCACTAACCTCACCTACAATTTGGAGAAAGAAATTATAAATTTTATGTTGAGATTGCATCATCTAGAACAATAAAATGTGGGCGAACCCAGCTCACATCCTATCAAAATCATTAATTAGGACGCTTAAGATCTTAATGTACGCATGTCGACTCAACCATACAAGTGTAAAGGTTTATGTATTAACATTAGTCAAGCTTTCCCCGCCTTTTATTCATGAATACGTTGTGTGGAAATTAAAAATGTATGGCAGGGTACTGATGCTTATTAATAATTACGTAAGCTGATTTGCCTTACAATAAAAGTACAGCATTGCAAACCTACCTGATTACCATATTAATGGTTACCAGCTGAAGGCTCTAACGTTCCATTAATGTGACTAGACGTAGGCCATAAATTTGATGACCGCACTTAGGTCGAAATTTCTTGCACATGCACACAGTCACATTAATTATCATGTCTAATGACTGTGCATAGAATCCAAATCATAACAAATCGACTGAGAGTCATTGAAAGAAGCTCAATCAGCTGATACAATAATAAAAATGACCAAGCCTGAGTACGAGAAACGTTGAGAAATTCAGTTGCGCAGTTGCTTTTTCATTGGCTATCGCACGACAGGCGACATTGTGCGTAAACCAATAACAGCGCTGTAATGAGGGCAGACCATTTAGTTGCGCGTGCTTTTGATTCGCCAGGGCTTGTGACGAATGGCTATCTTGCATGGTCGTTAACTTCACACACGTGCGCACACACTAACGTACGCACGTAGGCATGCCTGTGTGAGCGTGACGAAGTTTGCCACCGGCGAGCGCTAACGCGCACACATCACCCCTTTGGTCGAGTGCGCTACCTCTCGCATTCACAATTCTAGTCACCTTGTTCCCCCGCCGTGCCTCTCTTTCTCTCTCTCTCTTCTGCCGCCTATTTGTACGTGCGCGCCTGCACACTAACGTCCGGCTAAAACACACCCAGAGCATTTACAACCAGCCTTTCTCTTCACGCACCTAGTACCTTCCTCTCTTTCTCGCTCTCAATAAAAAATGCCTGTATTTGGTGCGTGTGTTTGGTGTTATTGTTATTGCCGCAGCAATTAAAAGAAGACGCGCACACAAGTCACGCGCGTGCACAAAAGTCGATTGGTCGAGGAGTTGAAATGCTCGCAATGCAGACAAACTACCCTTCTTTGCCTACGGAAAATGAATCAACCACCTCAACAAACCCACCTGCACCAGCGGCTTCAGCAACAGTGGCTGCGGTGGTGGTGGGGGGTGTCGGTACTAATGCAGGAAGATATACATCGTCAACGTTGACGTCTACCCCGTTCCCAGGTTCATCAGCGATTGACGCCTCGTTTTCTCGGTGCGCACCTCCAGCTAACGAAACACCAACGTCCCTAAATGAAGTTCTTCACCGATCCTTAATGGCTTCTTCCTTCGCAGCCAACGAAATCAACGAGCCGGTCATTCCTAGAGCCCACTCTAATGGCAAAACCTTTGATCTCAATGCTCTGCGAGAGGCAGCAAGTCGTGAGAAAAAGCTTTTTGAATGTGATCCCTCAGAGAGAAAGGAAGGAGTAATGGGGGGCTATGATCTTCCCTTCCACATGCCCACAGGGCATCCTCAATGGACTACCCAACAAGATAATCACCCGATCGATATGCCACCAAAACTGGGCCAAGCTCAAGAAACTAGTCCACCCACAAACACAAAGCTTGGTTCCTTCTCACCCAATGTTGGGATGCTTCCCTACACAAATACCGGATCAACCAAGGAATTAGACTACTTTTTGGCAGCAAATGCAGCTCGTGCACTGGTTAATCACTTAGGTGGAGCTGGCGGAACCGGCAATAGTGGTGGCAGTGCAGCTACCGGCGGTAGTGGAGGCAGCACTGTACCACAACCATCCGATGACCGATCGAAGTCGCCCTCCATGGGGTTTCGTGATATTGTGAATCCACATATCTCCCCACCACAACAACCCTCCTCAATGGAGCCCCTCTACGCTCACCAGCGAAGTCTCTCCGACAGATCCAGTCCTTCTAGATCCTCTTTCGGCCTCCCTTCACTGGGAATGAGTGGTAATGCTCCACCAAACATGTCAGTTCCATTCAACAGTTCGCCACTGCCGTTTTCCGTGCCACCACACTTTCGCCAAAACAACCCATCTTATTCATCACACCCATCGCATCACCTACTCCCACCGAACCCCTTTGGAGGACTAGATCCTAACTTCGCAGATCGCATGAAGGACTACTCTACACCGCATCATCTCATGGACCCCAGGTTTCCAGTCGCCAACTCAATGTCAAGGCTCCCACGTTCCGTTTCACCAATGGACGGAGATGGAAGAAATGCAGGAATAATTGGTGACTCTGGAATGAGTGACGCCTCACCTAATAGTTCTTCAAGCGGAAAATTCGTTTCTCCCCATAATCAAGCCGGAGGAACTACTGGAAATGGCGGGAATATAGTTCTTTATCCCTGGATGAATCCGAAGAGCTGCGGTAAGATAATGTTAATTCCTTTAAATTCCAAAGTGTATTGTGTTAAATTTGTCATAAGGATACATGAACCACGATTTTAATGTGACGACAACATGGTGCCCATAATTCAACACTGTGTAACAAGCCATGTCTCTCAGTATCACA